TTACATTTATATTGTATCAGTTTTAAGTTAAAACGTTTTGTGTTCAAAACCTTTACTTTCTGTTTCATTTGTCTCTATCACTACTCTACTTGGAATATTTCAACATAATCTATGTAAGTAGTGAAGAATTCTCCATTTACATGTAGAAATAAGATTCATATCTATAATTTTATTATATATAAATGAGTATGCAGGTAGTTCGTGGAGAGTGTAGCCAATGTGTTAAGAGTGTGCGGGGACCGGTGTCAAGGGTTAAATACAGTCAATGTAAATATGCATTATGATGAACTGCTTATCTATATGCTTACATTGTTGTGCTGAAATCTGATATGACGCATGCGTAAACAGACACTAAACCTACATCACTTCAACATTAACTAACATCATGGACAATATGGGTTTGAAAAAAAATTGTCTTGAAGGTTAAGCTGAATGCCTTAACTGCAAGGCTGGAAAGTCGAGGATTGTTTACCTAATTGTAATTCTGCCACTGCGATGTTGTCAGTGGTAAGAAGTGGTTTAAACCAGACATATACTTTACCTATGGCATCTAGTTAAAAGGATTCGAAAAACATGTAATATATATATATATATTAATATATATATGGATGTTGTATGGGTATTTTCATTAAAGGGTGATTGTCGAACTTATCAAACGAGACACAGCACAACGACTGCCGCCCCTTGAAACATTGCTTAGAGGACAACATCAACATGTCTGACACGAGACCTAATTAAATGAACACGAGTATATATGCTGTTGAAGCACTGATTGAATGAAAGCTACGAGCGTATGTATCAGGCACGTGATTGAACTACAACTCTGTGTAGGCCACTAGTTAGTGGAGGTGGGAGAATGCCAGGTGTACATGCCATTGTGCAGTACATACGTTCTGGCAGTCCTTGACAGTTAGTTTAGTATGGGAACTGTAATATAGAATGCTTACGTAGGAAATATTAGGTATGAGAAAGCACATGAACATTCCTGGCAGTTGATAATTCCCGTAATATGAGTGGAATTACCTATCACATTGTACTTACCACCTCACAAAGGCAATCAGAAGCTTCTGGTTGGATCAGGAGTTGATTTCAGACTCATTTGGTTCTCATGGTATTTTACAACCTGCACGTCAAACGATTGAGTTGGTTGGATGGATTTGGGTTGTTTCGGTCCTGCGTGCATGTTGGCAGATAGAATGGCAGTAGTGTTTGTGTGGGTGAGTGAGTTAGGATGATAACTTTACCTTACATTTCTTTTCTTCAATTTGCTGTGGTAAATATTTCGCCTCCAAATGCGAAACCATAGTTCTTGGCGACATCCTTTTATTTAAATCAAAATCCTCATTTACACCAAAATCAGACAGCATATTCTTTACAAGCAGGTCACTGGTTAGAGCAAAGTCTATGTAAGGCATTCTAGCATCGGGTGCTTTGTCTTTAATGGCTTCTATGTCACCACCGTTTAACACCAATGGAACGAGTTCTTTCATCCATGTTGTCCCTATTTCATAAAAGACCGTAGGTAATAGTAGTAATAGTAGCTTTTTGCCCTCTGACGACAGTTATTCTGTGACGTATATGGGTGAAAGAAAGGAAGAAAGAAAGCGCCCATATTCAAGTTGTTTTGAAGTTATTCAATAAATAAAATTTACAATATCCTAAATGACAGACCACAAAACTAAATACCGTTTGACATTAATTGTTGTCATTGTTCTCATTGAGAATTGCCTCACGTATATGCTGTTATAAGACAAATATTCGCAATAATATAATGTCTAACATTCCTCCAGGAAATGTAGTCTTAAACGGCAAAGAGATTGGAATATCTTGAGATTGTAGTCATGATGTCAAAAATTTATTCTGATTACATGGCTACAAGATTACTGATATATATTTTTTATGTTTTTGTGCCAGGCAACAGTTTCTGACATTGAATGTCACTGTTGGCTCCTTACTTTTTTATATGCAAATTGCAAGCGTGAGTGAATTTTTGCGAAAGAAGCCAATATTCATGATTTGGACTACGTGAGAGGAAATGTTATAATTGGTTATGTTTGCATATTGCAAGCGGTACGTCTTTTACATATGTTTACTATATTAGTAGTATGCATGTGAATGATATCTAACAATAACTCACCGGACTTTGGATATGTTATAACAAAAATATCATCTGATCTCACTTGAAACCTTCTAATTTTGTCAACTTGAATGTCGATCCTAGAGTTGGCGATAGTTTCAGCATCCACCATTTTGTATTCTTCCCTTATCTTGTCTACTATGCATATAAAGATGCAAACAAATAGTGATGTGGAATACTTAATATCAGATAAAGGTCAAACTCTGTGTTTACAGTAAATAACTGAAATAATGATTTGATTAAGTTTCCAGTTGCAAATGCCTTCATTGCGGACATTATAAATAAGTGTCTAAAAAACTGACGTTATAATAACATTTGTTGAAAAGAGCGGTTTTACTGTAACGTTATAACTTATATATTATTTTCTATCAGTGTATAATGTAGTACTGAAACAGTCGCAAAAAATGAAATTGTATTTGTTTAAAATTAACTAATAAGTGATGTCATCGGGTTTGTGGGCAGCTGCCTGCTCTCTGGTTTTGGGTTGATTGTGATTCGTCGTCCGGGGAAAATAAGTGTCGCTCTGTGGGTTGAATTTAGGTATGTTGTTTGGCTTTGAGGGTACCTTCTGGAAATCGCATAGGTGATATTTGAACTGCTCAACAATATTTACACAAGTCACCTTATGTCATTTTATGTCACTTTATAATATAACACACACCCAGAGTTGCACGTTTCAAGGCCTTAATGTACATCAACGCAGAGTGGTGAGTCGTATTGAACGGATCTGTCATTCACTTGGTCTTCGACCCAACTCTCTCATTGACCAGCTACCCTGCATTCTATCTCCTAACTCTCTTCTGACTCAACCACTAACTATCCTAACTCGTAAAGTTGCAATGTGGGCAGCAATCAACTCTGTGATTGCTCACAATATAGCGAAAGGGAATACTTTCATATACTTTTAAGTGCATCTCAGACTGGTGACATAATATCATGTTGATGTCATACTACAACATAAAGTCGACTGCTGTGTGTATTATCTGATACGGCAGGGTCATGGTCATGCTTTTTTGTATTTCATTTTTTTTCGTATTTACGTATTTATAATAAAGATCTTTATTTTCTGTTTCGATTTCACAATTAAAATTAACATCAAACTTAAAAGAACAAGTTACAATGAAAATTTCAAATTGAAATGCAAATTTATACATTTGTTACAGTATTTCACTTCACTATAAAAAATAGTTTTGTAATTTCTTTTTGAAAATGACTTCATTTTTTCAATTTAATTTTACGTAAGGTTTAACGAAATTTGCCATTTGTTCCTTGACCTTTAACACGTGATCTTAACTGCTCAGTCAATCTATGACAAGTTGTCATTTCAACGACGCTGTAAAGTGTAACGCGAGTGGTGAACGGCTGTACCAACATTTTACACACTTGTCCTGTGCCAGAAAGGTAATAATTTATTTAATTATACAATTAAGAGCGATCCCACATTTGTTTAAACTGCAAAAAACAGACAAAAGAAAGGCTAAATTTAAATTATTGAAAGAGTATTAGTAGCACTTTTATATTACACCACGCCTTACCTTTACTTTCTTAGTATTAGTAGAATAAATCAAAAACACTGAGCGGTGTGTACGGTTTTACGAATCAGCTAGCATCCGTGCTAATTGGGTAATTAATCAATCCAAGCTCAAAATCAACATCTGGCAAAATATCATCCACCTCAGTCAACATAGTTTCTGACTAGGCAGCTAAGTGAAAATCGTAAGCAGTGCCACTAGTGTAAAATCACTAAAATAATTAAACCACTGGTCAGGCTGTATATTGTATAACTGGTCAGGCTGTATCTAAGTGTTGACTAAAAAGAATTGGGATCTGCAAGATTCCTTAACAAACTGGCTCTTTCTACGTCCAAAAACTGTTTTTTATTACTCCTGCATAGGGACCTAAAGCGATTTCCCAAATCCTTATACTCCCACAGAATAATTAATTTCCCTTCCGACGAAAGAGCATTAACAAATCATATTTTTGCTTTTTCATGAAGTCCTGATCAAACCACGCAGATTGCCGACGACCAGCTTGCCCCCAAGTACCAACCCTTTTAACCATACTACATTTCGTTGCCATGGCATACGACATCCATTAAATAAATTAATAAAGTGGTTAATCTAATCTAATTCTGTTGCAATTTGTGACGGGTTGGCCCCCTTTTTTTGCTAGAATGACTGAACTAAAATGGGGCTTTGTGATAAAGAACCCCATTTTTTCATACACTTTCAATGTATCCGTATGACAGAACACATTGTTATTTCATTATATTTTTAAATCCTTTTTATTAAAATGACTGCTTTGGTAACGTATATAACTTTATATCAGCCGGACATTAGAAATATAATTTCTGTCTCAAACTCGACACTCCAGAAACAAGCGCCGAGTAGTCAGAGCTAACGCAAATATTTTTTGAAGTTTACAACATACTCAACAAGAATTCGAGATTAAGAAATTCCAACTCAAGAAAATAAACGTGTACCATGCAAGGTACACACATCACCGTGTACAACCCATTGATGAGGATGAATAAAATACACTGAAACCCTCAACTTGACCTGAAAACACCACAATGCGATTAGTAAGCAGTACTGGTCTCTTTGGTAAAAGCTTCGGATTAAATTCAGCAAGAAGACGGCCAAACACTCAATATTCAGAGACCTCTCGATAAACATGTCATGCTACGCCAACGCCATCATTAGAACGAAAACGGCTTGTCATACACGCCAGTGCAAAGGTCAAAATTGCAACGCCCGCTGAGTGTAGCACTGATATGTTTATATTAAATTATGAATTCGAACATATTTTTGTGCTAGTCAAAACAGAAAATAAAAAAGTGTTTTTATAAAAAAATGCGACACTTACAAAAACGCCAAACTTAATGTTTTGATTTTGAAAGGTGAATACAACCCCGTTACAACCCCGTTGTAAACTTCACGTTCATCACTTCATAAAAACAAATTTCGACTTCTACGTTATCTTGTTTTGACTACACGTAAATACCAAACATACGAGGAATCGGGCGAACTGGTAATCGGGCGAACAGGTAATCGGGCGAAACCGTTCGGGCGAAGTGGTAATTGGGCGAAATGCCCCCAATTCTGTGTACCATGTCCAGTAATGATCGACTTTTCGAGAAAAAAAATGTAAATATGTTTGAACGTAGTATGTACGTAATGACCGACTTCTCCGATGTTTCACCGGCCGACTTCCCCACTGGCCGACTTCTCCGATGTTCACTGGCCGACTTCTCGCACTGGCCGACTTCTCCGTTGTTTTGCTGGCCGACTTCTCCTGCTGGCCGACTTCTCTTGTTACCATTTTGTATATTTTCAATGCACCCCCCCCCCTCACGAGGCCCCTCGATGAGTCGCGACCCCAGACAAGTCGCGGTTTTTACTTGGAACTCGACATCCGCAACTTAGCGAGGGAGCTACTGTATATCAAGTTCATTGAGCCTCACTTAGCAAGGAATCACTCACCGCTTACCCGATCAGTTACTGATTTGCATCAATCCGGTCACAGTCAATACAGTTCACCGCTGGTTCCGTGTCACTGTGATCTCTTCACGGCGCTGGTATAATGTACAATACTTTGTGCGACAACTCGTCCGTGAAATGCAACACAGCAGCACAAGTCCTTCCTAGATATTCGGTCGCTGCATCAAAGTTACACATTCAATATAGCTCATCTCTATCCAGCTGTTAGGATTCTTAATGTCAAAGTTCACTTGATCTAACATGTATGTAAATGTGTCGAAATGGGCGTAGTGCGAGTGGTTAGTGCTACTAGCACTAATCCGAAAAAGTACTAGATCTAGTGCTAAAATGGCACTAGATCTAGTGCTAAAATGCCACTAGATCTAGCGCTAAAATGTGCACAGTGCGAGTGGCATTGTTATCGCATTGTCAACGACGTCGAATAATAGGAGGGCATCCACTTTCATATGCAAACTACAAACAGTATAAAACATCGGCAATATAGGCCAGATGTCCATAATAATACTTTCTTTATATTCTGCCGTAAATTCGCCATCCGAAAAATCGCCCTAGGGATTTCACGGCTGGTGGGCACTTATTTTGGGCTCAAAATTTCAAAAAATAATCATCAAATATTTTTTGGGGACTT